TTCAGCAGTGCAATGTGCCATTACAGCTGTGTGCTGATATGCAGGGTGCTTCAGCAAGCAGCTCCTGCTCTCTTACCCAAGTCAGCATATCTGGTCCAGAAGAAGTGCCCGAGGCCACCAGTGCTGAGCTGGAATGAAGGCTCATTCCTCTTCCTTAGCGAGGTGCCATTCTTCAGAGATAAGGCTGCGTGCTCCGAATACCGGTAGGTGATGAAGCCGTATTTATCCCCCCTGAGCAACCAGAGAAAGAATTCAAGGTGTGATGAGCCCCGCAGCTCTGATGTGGCTCTGCCCAGCACTGCACCTCTGTCTGTGCATCCTGCCAGCCCTCCATCCCACCAGCCCTCCATCCCAACGGCTGGACACCAGGGTGACCCTGCACTGCTTGGCAGCACTGATGCCTCTGCAGGGTTGCAGGGAGTGGCTGAAGCCCAGACCACGGCTCTCTCCTCACCCACCTGTTAGTCCTGGACAGGACCTGACACTCCACGATTTCACCAAACACTTCAAAGCGTTTCTTTAGTTCACTGGAGCTCATGCTGCTGGAGAGGTTTCTGATATACACCACCCGACCTTCTCCCTGGCAAAGCAAATGAAAGGTTTCAGTCTCCAGCAGCCTCGTGCCTCTGTGCTGCCGACAGGCGCTGGAAAAGCAGGGCTGCTGAGGGGCCCTGAGGAGCCAGCACCAGGAACCAGGCTGCAGCAGGGCAATGCTGCTGTAGGCACAGCCTGGCACCTCCAGGGTCTGCCTGTCTCTGCTCCAGCTGGCTCATGGCTGTCAGTCCCAGGACACCACTGCTGCAGAGGACAGCCATATCCATGTCCCTTAGGATGGTGTTACAGCCAGGCTGAAGCAGCCACCCTTGCCTTCTAGTTTAAATTTCTCCTGCGCTAGTAGAGAGGACCAAGTTTTTGCCCCCCGTGCCCAGCAGCCCACCCAGCTCCCAGCCTTGGGCACAGGCAGTGTAACTGATGCATGAGACTGCCTCTGCAGCAAGAACACATCTGTAGTGGCTTAAGAGCTACAGGGATCCCTCAGTTTACCCAACTAATTGCCAGTGCCACGTGCTCTGAAGCACCCTCATAGGATGCTCCGAGCATTTCTGTGCCAAGAACTCTGTGTATTGCCAGTCACTGGTGCCTTCCACTCCACATTTGGTTTTTCTCTTCCCCCTCCACCCTCATGTCCTTGTTTAACACTGGCCTCACACCAAGAGATGCTGAAGCCAGGGCTAATGGGCTCCACCACTGCTTTTCCAGAGTGGGAGATGAACTGAGGGCTGCTTTGCCCCAGTGCAGGGTTCCCGCTCACTTACGATGGCCTTTTCCCGTCTCTTCTCCATCTGGCCCCGGTGCCCGCTCCTGCCCTGACACTGCTCACCATTCTCACACCTGGGAAGCGAGGGAGAGGAGGTCAGATGGAGGGATGGGGGGGATCCAGCAGGGAAAGCTTCAAATGCCAAAGAGATGCTTCAAACTTCAGAGAGACACTGAGGCACACAGCTTCTGCAGCAGTAGGCCATTGGGCACCCAGAAGCTCTGGCAGCCAAGGAGAGATAGGGGCTTGGAAACACTGGAAAGGACACTGGAAAGTCCTTTTCCAATATGTTGGGGCATCCCAGCCAGTGCTTGCACCTTCCCAGGCACAGCTCCAGCTCTCCCAGTGTGATGGAAATCCCTGCCTGCTTCCCCCTGTTGTTGCTTTCTCTGGCTGTGGCTGATGTTTTCAGCAGCTGCTGATGTAGTAACAATTATTTAAACGTTTTTTCTTTCATTAATTAATGTCTTTATTATTTGGGCTAGCAGACCGGATGGGGCTGCCACACACCAGAGCAAAAACACAGGGTACCAGAACAGCCCCAAGTGTCCCCCCACCACTGCCCCCTGTACCTGAAGGTCCGCCTGCTTGCAGGTGATCGGGACCGGCAGCATGAAGACCCTGAGCTGGACCTGCTCCGGGAACAGTAATGCAAACTGGTCCTGGAAAGGGGGTTTCTCCGCAGGCACAGCTTGGCATCACTGTGTTCCTCATCCTCTTCCTCCTCCTCCTCCACAGGGGAGCCACTCTCACTGCAGCTGTCTTCAAAGACAGTGTCGTACTCGGGGCTCTTGCAGAAGACCACGTCCTCGTCATCAAGAGCACTGTCCAGAAAGCCGAAGTGCTTCGTTAAGCTGGCTCTGATCTCCTGGTCCCTCAGCTGCTTGACACCATCCTTCCACAACATCTGGCCTCCTGCCTCCTTGCTGCCCAGGTCCAGCCTCTGGTAGTGGGCGGCCGGGACCCTCCTCTTGTGCTCCATCTCCACCTGGCCCGGGGGCTCCCACGACCTGAGCACCTTCCTCTGCAGGGCAGCCTCGGGCTTCAGCACCTGGCAGTAGTCGTGGTCCCCAAAGGAGCGGGAGAAGGGCCGCTTGAGCACACCCTGCTGCTCAGGGAGTGCAGGGCGCCCGGCAGCTCGGCTGAGATGGGCGAAGAGCTCTGTCCTCTCAGGGTGCTTCTTGGGGACCTTCCGGGAAGCTGCTATGTCCCCTGTGCCACCAGGGCTGGGGGCCGTCCCCTCCTCCTTCCCTGGCTCCTGGGGGATGTCTGGCTTGTACAGGTCCTCCTCAGCAGGCTTGTAAGGCGGAGTAGTGGGCGGCGTGAGACCTGAACCCCCCAAACAAAGGGCAGGAGTCAGCTCTGCCCCCAACATCCTTGTCTGTCCCACTCTGATTCCTGAGCTGCACCAGGTGTTGCAAGGGAGGAAGACTGCTCAGCCCCCAAATCCTCATCAATCCAATGGCAATTGAGAAAAAAGGATGTCTGATCCCAAAAGAGACAAGAGGACTCTCCCTTCCCTCCTGGCTCATGCAGTGGCCTCCTAAACTGCCCCCCTCCCCAGATACATCCCCCCAGCACTGGCTTCTCTCAAGGATGCAGCTTGCAAGCTGCTTGCTGTGCCCAGGTTTGGAAGCAGTACACAGGAAGTTCCTTGCATTTGTGGAGCAAAATGGGGCTCCAGGGGATGAACATGCCCACTTTGCTGGAGCCGAAAGTCCAGGCTGAATTTAGTTTGCCCCCTAACAGGGAGGATTTTTGCAAAATTAAAAATTAAGAGCCTGTCCTACCTGCCGTCCCACACAGCTCCACAGTCAGCATTGGCTCAAAGTTTCTCTTCCCAAAGGTCGGGTCACTGCAGAAAGGGAGAAAATAGGGAGGAGACATTTAGCTTTCAAAAAGCAAAAGAAAGCTGAGAAAATATTGTCTACAACTGAGCCCTCCCACCATGGCTGGTGCCTGACCCTGCAGAGTGAGCAGCATGCCCTCCCCGTGCCAGCCAGAGCTCTGGGACATGTTGCCCCCAGCACACAGAAACGCTCTGCCCTCGGCCTGGGGCTCCCTGAGCTCCTTGCACCCGAGCAAGGGTCACAGCTCCCGCCGCCCTGCACCCAGCTGCACAGCTCAGTCTGCTCTACAAAGGCAGCTTCGCTCAGCCATCACAGCTGCATGCCCAGCCAGAGAAACCAAGGTGGCTTTTTAGCCCCAGTGTGGCTCCTTTAGCCCGATGTGGACTTACGTTTGTGCCAAGGACAGCGTGAGACACCTGGGTATTTCTGAAAGGCAGGGAGAGAAGCAGGGTTACCAGTGGAGCTGTGCTCCCTCCAGCACCCATGGTGCTCACAGTGACAGCCGGGGTCCCTCTGCCTGCCCAGGCCTGGGGATCAGGGGCTTTGCCTGCCTGCGAGGCAGCAGGGTCTGTGGGAGGGCTATCACTGCCAGGGCTGAGCCACCTGTGCCCACCAACCACCTGTGGATAGCTGCCAGGCTGGGGCACCAGTGCAGCTGAACCCCAGTGCCGAGGCACAGGGTGAGCCCATGGGGAAAAGGAACCTGCAGTGATGGGGCAGCCCAGTCCCAGCTGGGTTAAAGCTACAGCAACTCCTTGATCTTGTTATAAGGCTGGGGACACTGAGGCAGAAGGTGGCCATCACCCCTGGATTGAAACAGCCTCCCAAAACCAGAACAGGGCCCCAACTCCCCATGCATGGGACCCCACAGCCAGCCAGCACATGGGTCGGGGCTTGGCTGTGCTGGGGCTGCTCCCAGCTTCACTGCCAGGCGAGTGCCAGGCACCTGTCCTGCAGCACTTGTTCACGGCAGGGATGGCACGGGCAGCGTAGGCACACCGAGCAGGGCGAGCAGAGTGACAGCCCCCAAACCCCCTCACCTGCTTGCTCCAGGAGGGCACAGCCCCGGCTCTCAGCCCGGTCGCCCACCTCGCCATTCCCCGGGGAGCTCAGGGAGAGCTGCTGGAGCTCTGCTGGCAGTGCTGTGCTCCCACCGTCTCCCTCCTCCGTGCCCCCCACCTCCACTTCAGCTGCGGGCTCTTCGGCAGAGAAGCCGACCAGTGCTGGGCAGGCCAGGGCATCCTGGGGACGATGGCTGTCTCCTGCCTCCTGGGGGATGGAGGACTCAGGGGGTGACTCGTCTAGGAAGGAGAGCCAGTGGCCGAGCTCAGGGTGGAGTCTCTTGGACCGGCGGACGGCGTAAATGGTGCTCTCCTGCTTACGGGCCACCTTCCCCACAGCTGTGCCCGGGGTGCCCACACACTTCCCAGCATCGTCCTCGAGGCCACTGGGCTCCCGCGGTGCCTCTGCCTCGGCCCTGGGGCTCTGCCATGGCTCACCCTTCTCTGGTGCCATTTTGGCTCTGGATGTGCAGGTCCCAGCAGTGTCCTCCCTGTCCTGGGCCAGTGGCACAGGGGAGCAGGAGCTGGGTGGCAGGGCCAGGGCGGCATACACAGGCTTGCCCAGGCGGTATGGCTTGCTCACGTCGCAGAGCAGATCCCGCGCCAGCAACTCCTTCAGGATGGAGAAGGATGCTCCGGGCTTCTTGTAGCCCCCTGCTGCTTGCCAGGCGCAGCCCAGCCGGCTCGGGGCACTGCTGGGACAGTCTGGTTTGGCTCTCTTGAAGGGGCTGCTGCAGGGCTGGGGCTTGGCATCGGCGGCATCGCGGGCAGGCAGCTTCCGTGGCGGCAGGCAGTAGGTGTGCATGTAGCGGATGAGCTCCACCACCGAGTGCATTTCCCCCTCGCAGGAGAACTGGCTGCTGGAGACATTCTCTGCCAAGCATGGGGGGGTCACTGAGTCACCAGAGCTCAGTGAGTCCTCGCTGGAGTCACTGTCATCCTCGTGGTGGGCACAGTCGCCTGGGGGCAGGTGGTGGGGGCTGCCAGAGCACCCCTCGGGTGCCCGGGAAGCTTTGGTCTGGGGGCTGGAGGTGGTGGAGGTGAGGTGCCGGTGCAGCTCGGTGCAGCTGCGGCTCTGTGCCTGCGGGATGCTCACCCTCCTGTCCCGGGAACCCTCCACCTTTGCAGAGGAGAGAGGAGAAAGTTAGCCCACAGCCCTGCAGCCACAACCTTATACAAGTACTAGGCATGGGGACAGAAGACCTCCAGGCTAACAAAGCTGCCTCACATCCTCGAATTCCTGTCCCCCCAGCATCCAACCTGCCTGGGGTCAGCCTCACACCCAAGGGGGTTTCCACATAAGGCTGGCAGCCCAAAGGCTGCCCCTCCAGCAGCCAGCACACGATGATGCTCCCTCTGGGAGCCTGGGAGGGATTTGCTGATCTTCCCAGGCAATCTAATTTGCTGGGCCTAATGCACCGCACAATTACCATTAGCCAAGTAGAAAAATCTTTGATGGCAACTTCTGCTTGGTTTCAGGAGATTAGCTTAAGTGATGGGGTGGGCTCTGCAGCACTGCACACAGCTCTCCCCTGCCCATGGCTCCCGGCTTGGGCTGTGAGTCAGCGGAGAGGGGGGTGAGGGGTTGGCCAGGAGGACATGGGGCTTTACCAGAGCAGCACTTGGAGAACTGGGTCCAGGTGGGATTGACACATTTCTTAACCCAGCACAAAACAAAGCAAAGCCCAACAGTTTTGCCGAGCCCCAACTGCAACCCCTGCACAGACAGGGATGGGAACACCAGGCACTGCTCTGCCAGCAGTGACGGTTCCCACCTGTCCCCAGCCCCTGGCCCAGCTCAGAGCCTGCCCATGCTCCCCACCGCCAGCCTTCGGTGCCCTCCTTTAGGAGACCCTTTTAGTTCCCAAGGGGTCTGTGCTGGGATGGGCCCAAGCTCTGCCTGCCGAGAAAGTACCTTGGCACAGGGCCGTGCAGGGCGGGACTTAGGGGTCCCCGGGCGCCGGGCGCTCCCATCCCGCTGAGCCTCACAGCTTGGAGGCACGTGCGATGGAGAGAGGAGCAACTTCTTCAGCTGCAAAGAGAAGTGGCAAGAAAAGGGGTCGGCACCGCAGCGAGGGCAGGAGAAAGTGCCAGCAGGGCCATAGCCCCTTGGCTTGTTCCTGTGCTGGGCACGTCCATTGCTGAACGCTTGACCCAAAAATGGGGGAGGAAAAATAAAAAGGCGGGAAAGCATTTCCCACTTCCCCATGGCTGGGGATAGGGGGGCAGGCACCTGGCCATGCACAGCCCTGAGAGGCTCAGGGCTGTCTCTGCAGCACTCTCCCACATCCCCAAGAACCTCCAAGGAGGTTGAGGATGTGGGGACATGAGAGCATTTACTTCCCAGGGCCATTCCCACTCCCATCAGACAGACAGGAGCTGTGGTGGCATCCAAACTTCTCAAGTCATCAGTTCTGCCCTTGGGTGACAGAGACTTTACACTTACATGAGTGATGGGTTTGTACAGCTTGCTGGGTCCCTGCGCAAGGTTCATTTAGCCAAAACATCTAGAGAGGCCTTGACTCATTAATGAGCTTTAAAGGCATTTTGCAGATGCAAGCCCCTGTGGGACCTTCTCCAACATGCTCTGCCAAGCCCACGGGTGGTGGGAGTGGGGTTTTCCCTGGGTAACCCAGAGTGCCACCACTTCTGATGGCAGGGTCGGCATTACATTTTCTTCTACTCAACACCATTTTTTGTTTAGGGCATGAAAAAAACCAAACCCCACACCCAGCATCAGCATTTCATGTTCCACCCATGTCGCACTAACAACCGAAGGCGACAACAACTCAACAGCAAGACGACTGCGTAGGCACCGGGGGCTGCACGGAGGAGACAGATCTGGGGCTCCCGTGCTGGCCCACAGAGTCCTGGGGCAGGCACAGGGAATGGGGGGATACAAGTATGGGATGTCTGGGTCAGGGTCTGCTGGGAAACATGAACCAGGACACCCACAGCTTTAGGCGTGCAGCTCCTGTTAGTGGAAGCAACCAGCACTTTCCCCCCCCAACCCCTGCAACGTATACATCCTATATATACACATACATATTGTGTGTGATATATACCCCCCCGCGCAGGGCGTGGGCGGTGGAAATGCGCGATCTCACCACTGGATGTCACTCCTCCCCGCCACAGCCCCGGCTCCTGGGGACACCCTGGGGTCAGGCTGGGGGCCCTGCTGGGGACCCTGAGCCCCAGGAGGGAGTGGGCTGGTAGTGCCAGTGTCCCAGGGGACCTCCCGGGGATAGCGGTGGTTTGCAGCAAATGCTGCCAAGAGGGGCAGCAGGGCTGGAGCCCCCGTATTGCAGGGATGCTCCAAATCTGCAGGAACACACAGCCCCTGAGGGGGTTGTGGTGGAAGGCATGGGTGGGTCAAACTCTCCCACCAAAACCTGAGGGCATGGGCTGTCTGACACTCTGGCCAAGTCCCCTCTGCCCCTCCTGTGAGAGCAGCGGGGAGCTCAGCCCCGAGGCAGAGCTGGGTGGGAGCAGCCACCATTGCCCATGGGCATGAGGCTGGGATGAGACAGGGAGACCCCCGGGCAGCCCCACATCCATGCGTTGGATTAAAAGCAGGTGTGGGTCTTGCCAAAGCAGCCACCACCCCTTTGACACCTGCCCCCACCCCCTTCATTGATATATATTTGTATACACACAGCTTGTTCCCGTGAAGATGGTGATGGAGGTGACAGCAATGATGCAGAACATGTATACGTATACAATACAAGTATATGCTTTGGTATTGACGGTTAAAGAGATTTTTAAGCCTAGAATGAAAAAATTCAGACCTTTGCTTCCTATCATACCCATGCAGCCGGCTTATCAGGGGCTCATCCAAATCCACCTTAAACACAGTAGGAAGTGGGTTCTTACTAGAGACAGCTCATCAAACTCGGGGGCCGGGGACGGCCCCCCCGTGACCGGGGCGGTGGGTTTGGGGGAGGGGGCAGGCGAGGTGTAGGCTTGGTAGAGCGTGTCCCCCTCTTCCATAGTGTGGAAGGCAGCCAGGCCCATGTCATCTCCCTGTATATCATCCAAAGTCTCGGTGAGGGCTGCCAGCAGCGCTTCATTCTCGCTGTCTATTATCTGAAAGGAGCAGGCAGAGAAGAGAAGGAGTTAGGCTGGGCAGGGAAGAAGGGTTGGCAGTGCCACACCAGAACTCACACTTCCCAGTGACTCCATGGGGAGCCTGGGAGAGCTTTTCCCCAGCATTGCACTAAGATGGGATCAGGAGGAGAGAGACCCAACTGAAAAAGGAGCATCAGTCTGTCCCCGTGTGGCCCCAAAGGGAAAATAATGGATCAGAGCATCTTCTCTACCCATAGTTGCCTCCACCCCACCATAAACCAAAGAGCAGCAGATAAAGGACCTGTGATTGAAAGGCTCCTTATCCAAATCCTCCCGAGCATGGGCTGCAAGCTGCCCCCCAGCACTGGCTATCCCAGCACTGTGGAGTGGGGCTTGGAGCAGCGTCCAGCCAGGACAGGAGGCCAGGGAGGGGGCAGGCACAGCCCCCTGCCCTCTGCAAGGCTGGGGAGACCTGAGAGGGCATGACCAGTTATTTGCAGCTCTCCTGATGGGGAAAGCAAAGAAAATGTGAAAAGTCCTAAGCTCAGTCCAGGGCTGCCCAGTGGACAAGAGGACACAGCTCCCTTGGGAGGGCACAGGGGAAGCTCAGCCCAGGCTGCACCACTGGCCAGATGCCACAGATTGCAACAAGCAGCATGGGTTTTGTTTTCACTAAAAGCCCCAAAGGCAGGCATCTCCAGCTCGACACCCAACACCTCTGAGCCCTCACACTTGAAGCTGGCTGCACACAGTGCTCTGCAAGGGACCTGATCAAAGCCCCAGAATGAGATAAGCCTTCTATTACAGCTCCCCTGATTTATTTTTTTTCAGCAACTAGCATGACCTGGGGATGATGATGTGAGATTCGTGAGAGTCTGGGACTGTGCTGGGCCATGCAGAGCCATGGGCTGCTCCTGCCTCACTCCACCCACTGCCCCGACCTGCCCCCTGGGACCCCTCTGCCCATCTAGACTTGGCCTTGGCTGATACACTTCCAGCCCTCCCAGTCCCACACATCCCCTTCAACTCCAGAAATATGGTGCAAAAGCCCAGAAGGGAATGCAGGAGCTGAGGAATGGCTGAAGTGAACCAACAGTTCCTTCTTTTTGGTCCTCCCCCATAATATTCTGAATGTAAACCATGTCCAACAAGAAGCAGGCTACCATCAACTATAAAATTAGCACTGGGGTAAATTCAAGGTCACAAGGAGGACTGCGAACTCCACACAGCCTCCCGTGTTTCTTTCATCTTGTTTGAAAATTAAATACCTTTTGTTCCATACCCTAACCTTGCTCGCAGTTACTAGAACAGGCTCCAGGAAAAGGCAGCAGGATGCTCCATTTTTGGCTCTGTTTCTTTTCCTCCTGTTATTGGCACGAGACTGCTGTGCATACAAGTTCAGTGGGATACATTGAATCATACTCCACTGCTCCTGATGGGCCTGCCTTTTGCATTTCTTTTCTGTTTATCTTTTCCCCAGGAAGTTCAGCGGAAAATATGCATCTCGTGATGAAGGTCCCTCAGCTGGACTGGACCGTTTTCAAGCACAGCATCATCATAGCATAAAAGCCAGAGGGTTGTTATCATGGCCAGGTTGGAAAATATTGGGGCTTTTCTTTTTTTTTTTTTTCTGCTTGTTTAAGTACAAAACCTCCTCCCTCTCAAAATGTAACCCAGAGTTGGTGAGTAGTAGGCACCAGTGGGTCGCAGCCTCCTTGTCAGAGGGGTTAAGGGCCTGGGTGTTGCTCAGAAGGGCAGAGAGACCCCAGCCTCCGAGGACAGGGCACATCCAGGGCATGGTATGAGCTTTGTGAAAGGTGATTAGGCTGCCCAGCATGCTCTGCCCCTGGTTCTCAAGCAGCCTCCACAGCTCCCTGCCTGAAATCTGCTGTGCGGTGCTCACAGCCCTGCCCTGGTGCCACAGCTCCACGAGATGCTCAGCTCTTCTGCTAGGAGAGGAAAAAATGTACCAGGGGACAAGGACCAGCCCTGCCAGTGCCCAGGAGCATCCTCTGCTCCGGCATCACTTTGTAGCGTGTGGTCCCATGGGCCAGCACCACAATGGGGTCATCCCAGAACAAAGGTGAGGAGAGAACCCAGCCACCCTCTGCCAGAAGGACCCCAACCCAAAACATGGGGATGAGGCTGAACTGGAGAGCTGGGGGAGGGGGCTGCTTTCTGCTCCTGGGAAAGGAAGGGCTGGGCCCCCTGCCACAGCCCCCATGCTGGCACCCCTGGCACACCTTGCCAGCCCAGGAATCAAATGGGACGTGCTGTGCACCAGCTGCAGTTCCCTTTTACTCATACATGAGAGGAGGGCTGGCTCAGCAGCCATACACCTCCTCATTAGCCATACTCAGCTTGCCCCATTTAGAACCCGTGCACAAATTAATGGAGCGCTAATCAGCTGGGGAGGAGCTATTAATAGTTGTGTGGGTCCCCTCCAACCTCCCTCCTTCTCCCTCTCTCCTGCTCTCCTCCTGCCTCCCTCCTTGGGTCCCCTGTGCCAGGAGGATGGGGTACCTGGAAGAGCTCGGAGTCATCAGTGCTGTACTGGCTGGAGTCGGTCTCCGAGTGCTCCCCGCACCACTGCAGCTCGCTGAAGCAGCCGGCTGAGTCAAAGTCGCTGGCATCCAGCTGGGACAAATCAATCTCAGGGAAGTCAGAATAGAGGTGTTCCTCACCAGACACCTCATACTGGGGAGAGAAAAGAAGAGAAGAGAAAGAGGGTAAGCCCATGCCAGAGGGGCAGGCAGCAAGAGGCAGCAGGAGAAGGCTGGTGCCCCCGTGCGCTGTCACCTCCACTTGAGCCCATTACTCACACCCTTCTTTGAACTAGTTTTGGCAAGTGGCTCCAGGAGCAGTTACATGGCAGTGGAGAGCCCAGAGACCACCACTTTACTGCCCTTCTTGCAAATCTGTTTGCACAGCCTGCACTGCTGGTTACTGGAAGCACAGGAAGAGCTTTGTCCCCTCCCACGAGCAGCTCAGGGCACAGCATGGCCACCCAGACTGCAGTAAAGCAGCTGCTGGGGATCTTAGGGGAAACTGAAGCCATTTCTGCCTCTGGTGCCCTAAGGGTGACACCCAGGGTTATCCAGCTGCTCCAGAGATCAGTGATGGCAAGAGCAAGAAGAGACCTGGGCGCACACCAGACAGCAGTGCACGGGCCAGGCTGCAGCGGGCGGCCTCACGCTGGTCAGCATGGCTGCTCTTCTACCCTGTCCCCTTCCCTGCCACACAGCACTGAGCTGTCCAGGGACAATCCTTCTGGGGAAGCTGCACATCCTGCTCATCCGAGGGCACACCAAGGCAATCCAGGGCACAGATTCCAGGCCCCACATTGCATGCACAGGGTGAGAAAAACAGCATGGAAACAAATGGATGTCCAGGTGACCATGAGGCAATGTGAGCTCTACTAAATGAGATTAAAATGTCCATTTAACCACAGAAAGAAGCTGGGACTTCTGCTTCTGCCTGGTTCCCAGCCACTGCCCAGCCACAAAGCCCCTCAGCTGCACCCAGCACCAGTGGGAGCCACACTGCCTGCACAGAGGCCTTGGGTCATGCTTGGTTTTGCCCCTGATGTTCAGGTTCAAATGTGGAGGGGAAAGGTCTGGTGTGACTCCCCCTGGTATTGGCTGCCCAGGGGGAGTTTTCTGGCAATGAGAGAAGCAAGTTTATTTACAGAGCAAATGGATTTTGGAGCATGCAAACATCGGAGCACATGAGAGAGGCTGCAAGGGCAGGAGAACATGGGGACCTCCCCTCCTGAAGTGCCCTGGAAGGGTGTCCTCTGACACCCAACAGGAAGGAAAAGGGATTTCAAACCGAGCTGCATGAATGGGAAAGACAGTGTTTCTCTCTCTTTTTTTTTTTTTTTTTTGTAATTGGGATAATCTGGGATTATTGATTGTGTTCCCACAGGCTGAGGAGCCTGTGTGCCAGTGCTCCCCGCTGGGTTTAGGACACCCTGTGCCACACCAAAGGACACTCCTGTGCACATGTAGAGCCCCACATTTTGCATTTCTCGCCTGCCTTCCACCCTGTCCCATCCCAGGGGCAGCAAGGAAAGGGTGAGCAGTTTGGAGGACACAGCAGGGGTAGGGGAGAGTGGCTCCATGTCCTGATAGTGAGCTAGTGCCACGTGGACACAGATGTTACCTTTCCCCAGCTCTCCTGTCCCCTCTACTCAGGGGCATCCTGGGCTGCTCTGGCATCAGATGTCCTTTGGCCTTTCAGATGTGTTGCTTACCTGCTGTGGCTTGTCCCTGCTTCCCTGCCACAGCTCTTGTGCATGCTCCAGAAAAAGTCTTGCAACAACTTTGGCTCCCCCTCCTCCCCAAATCTTCCCATGGGAACACAGGCAAAGGCTTTTATTTTTAGAAAAGCAGTACATACATATATATATGTGTGTGTGTGTCTGTGTGTGTGCGTTCAATTAAAAATAGCTAAGCAGTCAAATTCTCCTGCTCCTTTTGATATGCCACAAGGGAAAAGATCCTGGTGCTGAGATCACAAGGAGCAGCTGACACCAGTGCTTGGGACATCTTTTGATCAACTCCACAGATGTGACATGTCCCCATTGGCAACAGGGCTGGGTAAAAATAAACTCCTGCAATCTAATGCTGCTGAGCTGTTCCCTCTGGGCATCCCACAGGTAGGAGTGCCCCAGCACTGCCATGCATGCTGCATGCAGCCATCCTGGTGCTGTGGTTGGAAGTGGATGCTCCCAGGTTCCCTGCTAGAGTAGGTCAGGAGTGCCTGAAAATTCAGCTCTGCCAGCATCAGTTCTCAGAAAAAGTGGGGAGAGCCTTTGCTCAGTGTGGCCACCTGCACAGGCACCCAGCAGGGCATCCCAGCATGGAGCTGTGTCTCCAACCAGCCCCTGCTGTTAGAAAACTGGCTGAACTACGGAAGACTTGAGTCTCTGGAGTGAATCCATCACTCTGAGCACCACTAGCATGGCACTGAGTGCTGAGAGCAGAGCCCCTCTGGTGGGGGAAGATGCAACTCCCCACCAGGGTAGGGGGTGGCAGTAATGGGGAGGCTGCCTGTGGGCACTGGACCTCATCTGCTCTGACTTTCTTTTTTCCCACCCTTTGCATTTCCTGCTGCCTTGGGAGAGGAGTGAACTTTTGTTCTAATTTTACTTGGGAGTTTGTAGGAATATCAGCCATGGGTTCTTGGTGTGCAGCCAGCAAACACCCATGGAGACATACTCAAAAATTCAGAGGCATCCTCCAGCCCAGACACCTGGCCCGTGCACGCTGCAGCACGGTCGCAACCAGAAAGCTGCCGGCAGTGACTTGTCTGATGAATCCCTGCTCCAGGGAAGAGAGATGACCAGGCAGCTACGTGGGTGCCCCTGTGCTCTGCACCCCTGGGGGGAGCAGAAGTCCCAGCCTGGGCATCCCCTTCAGCAGCAGCACTGAGCAGACAGCCACACCCGACAGTCAAGGCTGAAAGGTGGAGGGCAGTGAGGGAACGGGCTCCATTCAGAGACATCCTCCTTGGCTTTCTTTAAAGCATGAACCAACCCTGACCTCAGCCCCAGCAGAAACGCAATCACAACTAGGGGACAAAGAGGCAGCTGATACTCCCTTGCGTGTTGCAAGGAGCTTTGCCTCTGCAGAGGCTTTGCTCACCGGCAGGACAGAGCATTAACGTTTTTATTAATTTACTGCTGAGCTCAGACGGCCCTTCCCTGCTGTGAGGGGTTTATAACTTATATTGTAGGAGCAGGGGTTGCCCCAGGAAGTCAGTGGGGACCCTCGCACCAAGGCTTTGTGTCCCTTTTTTTTGCCCCTGCCAAGGCTGGCCAGATGCAGCAGCAGCCTGGAGAGCAGGAGGGCTCTGTGCCCACCACGCTGCACTGCCCGCTGCCAGCCCCACCGCCTGCATCCACCACGGTGGAGCTGGCAGTGGAGAGGAAGCACGAGGGACAATCTCCAAACTGGCAGTCAAGGACATCCAGAGGCCACCTCAACAACTCTGTTGTCCCGGGGAAACTCAACTGCACCTAAACTTTTCCAGACAAGTACCAGTGGGGCCTGTCCACCAAGAGCAGACCTGGGATCCATGTGTGTGCAGCCAGCTTGCCAGGGGAGCAGGCAGCACATTGCCTGCCTGCCTGCCAGCCTGAAAAGAGGCACCTGAGATTCAGCAGCCTTCAGGCAAATGCTGATGTTTTGGGGTTTTGCCTTCCCTGTGGCAAGCCGGGGGCAATGCAGCCTCCAGGCACTGGCTTGGAAGAATAGCAGCCCTGCTGCCAGACAATAGTAACCTAAACCAGAAGCCAGAGAGATCAGATGGCCATTGCCTGTGGTGCCTAACTGGCTCAGAGGGGCTTGGAACAGGGCAGTGACCGTGACCAAGGGAGCTACAGGTCCTCTCCTCTGTCACACCCCCAACAACAGTACTGGTAGAAATTTCCCTTATCTGCAAAACCCCTGGATCCAGCCCCTTGAAGTTTTGGCCAAGTATTTTGCAGTGATGCCCCAAGCACACCAGGCCCTGGCACACACATTGTGCTCCTGCTTAGTGAGGCTGAAAAAGTTTCAGCCTCTGAAGTCTGCCGGCGCAAAAGCGCTGCTGGACGGGCACAGCATCTTCCCAGCAACTTAATCCTGTTTAAGCCAGGGAGGCCAGATTTGCAATTGCTGCCCGCATACAGGACCCCAGGATGCTTTGCAATTGCCTTGTCACTCACGTGCCACTTCTCTGTACAGAAAAAAGGAAAGAAAGAGACAGCTCTTCAGAGGGGCTGAAGGAACCGGCCAGAAGCAGGCAGCCCATCTCCTCGCCAAGGAGCCAAAGCAGTGACTCAGCTCCACACGGAGCCTCCTCCCCTTCCCACAGCCTACCGAAGCATTAAGGGATAAATATACATCCACACGCGCTGGAGACAGAGCCCCAAATTAGCCAGTAGCATTTAGGCTGGGACCCAAACCAGCAGAAGGTGAGAAATGCCGAGAACACAAAGTGCTGGCTCCTGGCAGCCCTCCCTGGGCAGCACCGGCAGCGCCGCCTTCCAGTGCCCGCATTTGAAGCCGAGCAAGGGAGTTTCCCCCTCCTCATCCCAGGCTTGTCTCTAAAAAGGAAAGAAAATCCTTGGGCAGGGGTTTTGGTGAGAGCTGTCCAGGCTTATCAAGGAAATCTGTAATTACCGACTGCATGAAACAGGGATTACAGCCATGCAGGGAGATGGGCACCATGCGGCTCGTTTCACCGGGATGAACTCTTCCCCGGGCAGGCAGCCGTGGGCTGGTGGGTGCAGTGGTGGGCACACTGCCTGCCCCGGGAGCTGCTTCAGGCAGCTGAGAGCCCCACTCAGGCAGACAGAGATGCGCACCAGCAAACCCTCAGCACTCTCCTGGGCCACCCCAAAACCAGAGATGGGAGGCAATGGGGACAGGTACCCACTGAGAGCCACACCAGGGCCAAACCCAGCCCCATCTGCCCCCAGGGTGCAACTTGCTGTCCCCCCAGCTCCTACCCAGGGGATGTGGTCCCCATGCAGTCAGGCCACCAGCACCCTGGGGGAATGAAGCTGAGGGCTACCAGCCCCAAGGACATGCCAAATCCCTCCTAGCTCTTCCAGCCCAGAGGGACCTGCATGGGGAGGGCAGCCCCCTCCAGTACTAGGAAGGAGGGCAGAGGTGGGGATGGAGAAGGGAGCTATAAATAAGTGTAAATACAGCAAGGAGGCACCTGGCCAGAGCTGTGAAGGTCACCGGAGTGTGTGCCAGCAGATAAGCAACCCCCCTTCCCACTGGCATTTGAGAAAATGTCACTGTGAATGAGGGAAAGGTGGTGTCAGGTTGTGCCTTGGCCCACCTGCCCCTTGCCACCCCCTGATATTTATAGCCTGAGAGCCCCAAAGCGAAGGGCAAGTGGTCCCTCCTCGGGAGGCAGCAAAGGCAGAGGGGACCCGGCCTGCAAACACACCGATGTGACACAGCACAAGGAGGAACAAGGCAGGGCTGTGAAGGCTGCCAATCCCTCATCCAGCTCCCCAGTTTTTGGGGAAAAGGAGCACAGGACTGTTTCAGGCTCCTGCGTCTGCACAGCGTCCTGCAACAACCTCCCTGCCCTGCCAGGAGCAGGGCGCTTCATCCTCTGCACTCTGTTGATTTTTTTCTATTCTTTCTCTAATTTCCACTGATCTGTTTTAACGATTCAGCCCCAGCCAGCGAGAGGAACA